AGCTCATTTTCAACCTTGACACGGTAATCATGGGCATAGCCTGCCTGGGTGTCATTGCCCTTAGATTTCTCCTTCTGTTCCACACTGGAAATGATGCGCCAAGCAGCACGGCGAGATCCCACTGTGTTCTTGTAGGCCACAGACAGAAGGTTGCGCTCTTCCACAGAAAGCTCAGCACCATCATCTCCCACAGCCTTCATATAGTCAGCCATCTCGTCATAGCGTTCAGCCTGCTCAGCGAGCTTGGCAAAATAGACGTCCTTGTCACGAGGCATGCCTTTCCAAAGCTTTGAAGAGCTCACAGGCACAAGTCGCGCGTGTACAGATTTATCTGCAAGCTTGAACCAAAACACGAGTCACTCTCTGCAGGCTGGTGGAAAATAATGGCCTTAAAATGACACTCGAGTTTACAGCTCACCAATGAGGTTGGCATGCACAAAAAGGGGACTCCACTTCCAAAGGTTCCTTCCCCTAGCAAGAAATCAGGGCAAGATTCAGCGCGTTGCCATTTGTCCTTGCATTCAATGTCATTTGCAGGTCAGCTATTCACGAGAGTTGAAACAGGCTGGTGTCTGTGCGTCGTTTTCACTAACCTGCAGGTGGTACAGAATCTGTCACGCATCTCAATTGCCAGCTTCCTGGTCAGAAGTCCACAGCGTCAGGTTGTCTCGCAAGAGCTGCATGATCAACGTGGAGTCTTTGTAGGAGTCCTCCGCTACGTTGTCAAGTTCGGCAATTGCATCCTCAAAAGCTGTGCGAGCCATTTTGCATGCTTCGTCCGGGTCATTCAGCACCTCATACATGAAGACTGAGTAGTTCAAGGCCAAGCCAAGGCGAATTGGGTGAGTAACCAACAAATCCTTCTTTGCCACCTCCGCTGCCTCTGCATAGGCCTTCCGTGCTTCCTCTGCGGCTTTGCTCTTCTCGTCACCGCTGCGGAACTCAGCGATGTAGCCTTGGTGTTCATGGGTCTTCTAGCAAACACTCTTTCCATTCATTGGGTTCGATTGTGTCATGTGCATCATATTTGGTCATTAGGCTTGGCTGAGATTGCAGCAGCTACATGCGTTCATGCATGATCCAAGAATCCAAGGCCATACATACGTATTGTATCGTCATGGTGTCTTTGTCATATATCGTGTGGTATCAACCCAGAGTGGAGCCGAGTCGCGATAGTAATCAGCCTTCATCTTTTGATAGAAGACTTTGGATTCTGCCTGCGTGGCCTGCGGGATCAGGCCTTTGTCCAAGAGCTTCAGGATGGTGTCGCAAATCTTCTGCAGCTCATTTTCAACCTTGACACGGTAATCATGGGCATAGCCTGCCTGGGTGTCATTGCCCTTAGATTTCTCCTTCTGTTCCACACTGGAAATGATGCGCCAAGCAGCACGGCGAGATCCCACTGTGTTCTTGTAGGCCACAGACAGAAGGTTGCGCTCTTCCAC